AAAAGATAGAGAGGGAGAGAGCTGTGTGATAGTTAGAGGAGAGAGAGAGGAGAGATAAAGAGAGAGGAGAGAGAGAGAGGAGAGAAAGAGAGAGAGAAAAGAGAGAGAGGAAAGAGAGGAGAGAGAGAAAGAGAGAAAGAGAGGAGAGAGAGGAGAGAGAGAAGAGAGGAGAGAAAGAGGAGAGAAAGAGAGGAGAGAGAGGAAAGAGAGAGAAAGAGGAGAGAGGAGAGAGAGAGAAGAGAGAGGAGAGAGAGAGAAAGAGAGGAGAGAGAGAAAGAGAGGAGAGAGAGAGAACTCCCCTTTGCTAGTTCACTCCCCAGTTGCCCACAACAGCCAGGGCTGGACCAGGTGAGAAGTCAGGACCCTGGAACTCTTATCTGGGTCTCCCACGTTGGGTGCGCATTAGCAGGAAGCTGGAGCAAAAATGGAAGAGCTGGGATTCGAACCAGGCACTCCGGCATGGGGGGTGCAGGTCTCCCAAGCAGCCCAAACTCCCGCCCCATCTGTCAGGGCTGAGTGACAGCGTGGATGGGCGGATGAACCCTGAGTGAGTCCGGGAGAGGGTCCTCGCTGGAGACTGCGGCTTCTGTCTTTTCCCGACCCTGGCCCGCACCTGCCGCATCTCTGAACCCCTGGCCACCCATGGCAGGCAGGCAGGGCCTTGGGGGCTCCCGTGCCTGGCTGCTCCTCGAACACCTCATTCTCTGCCACCCCCATCACCCCGGAGTGGGCACGAGGCCTTGCTGAACAAATGCACGCGCCCGTGGATGGACACGATGATCCATTCATTCAGGTTCAAGTGTGGGAAAGGGGGGTGAGTGACCGCCGCCTCTCACCCTCTCATCCAGGCTCTGCAGACCGGGTCCCCGGGAGAGTCCCAGGCGTGGGTGGGTGCTCAGAGCCTGCAAGTTCTGTGGAAAGCAGCCCCTGGGGCGTGGGCAGAGGCCAGCGGATGCGGTGGCCAGCAACCACCGCTCTGCTCAGGCCTGGGCACCAACGGGAAGCCCCCCGGGGTGGGTTCCAGAGGCAACGCTGGCTGCCAGGGCGACATGGCACAGGCTCCCCACCACCCTCCATCAGGGCTAAGCCTGCTGGGGGAGGCCAGCCTGCGGCCCCTGCACCCCGGCTCAGCCTGGGGCCCCCTCCCCACGCCTACAGCAGGGAGCCCCACAAGGCCACGGGGCCTAATCCCTTCCGCAAACAAAGGCAGAGGCTTCAGGCCCGTTGTGGTCTCTTCCTGTTTGCCTTGGACGCAGACCACGGGGCCCAGCTGCCTGGAATCTTTTCTTTTTTGGACAGGGCCTCTGGCCTTCCAGGCTGGCGCAGCAGGCAGCCCGAGGCTGGCGCTGTGGTGAGCGGTCTGGGCTCAGGGCACCACGCCAGCCTGCGCAGGCCCCAGGCTGGCCCCACCCCCTGCCCCCAGCATGCCTCAGCACAGGGACCCTCCTGCTCCCAGCCATCCCCAGCCTCTCAGGGCCTTCAGATGGAAACCCCAGCTCCGGTCTGTGCGGCCTTGGCTCCAGCTGCCAGCATTTCCAGAATCCCGTGGCTTTTGCACACCGCTGTGCCTTGGCTCATCCTGTTCCCTCCCTCCTGTCAAACTCCTACTTGTTCCTCAAAACCCAGCTCTCAACAGGCACGGCAGTGCATCTGGGCCACGCCTCCCCAGCCTCCAACTCACACCTCTATCGCAGAACTTGGGAAGAGGCCAGCTACGCGGTTAGAGGCAACCACGAGGCAGACCCGGGCCCCCAGGGCGGGCTCTGTGGCTCTAGACATAACCTGCACAATGCTTGCCGTGGCCTACAGGTCTGGTGTGCTCCAGCCTCACTACCCTGTGCTCCATGCTCTGACCTCTTCCCCCGTCCCCTCCCAAGCTGGTCCCAGGGTCTCGCCTTTTCTCCGTCTACTGCCCACTGGTCCTGTGGGCTGACGTGAGTGGTGCTGCCCAGGGCAGGCCGCCCAGCGCCTGTGCACCAGGCACAGCACCCAGCACACGGGGAAAAGGAGAAATAGTGCGACATGAAAACGAGAGACAGCAGTGAGAGCGGGAATGTGGCCCTGGGCGCACCCCTGCCTGGGCTCCTGCGAGCCCCGGCGAGGCTCCCCATGTTGCCTGCTGATGTTTTTCCTTGGAGCAGTAAGACCTTGACAATGGGGCTGGCGCTGCAATGCAATGGATGAAGCCACTGCCTGTGACCTTGGCCTCCTGCGAGCCCCGTGACAGCACCAGCGGCTCCACTTCTGATGGAGCTCCCCAGTAATGCACTTGGGAAGTGCTTGAGCCCCTTCCGCTCATGTGGGAGATCCGGGTGGATTTCCGGCTCCTGGCTTCAGCCTGGGCCATTGCTGCTGTGTGGAGAGTAAGCCAGAGGACAGAAGCACTCTCTCTCCCCCACCCCCGTCACTCTGCCTTTCAAATAAAATACATCTTTTTTTTTAAAGACCATCACATTGTGGTTGAATTATTATTATTATACTTTTTTGGGGGGTATGCATTTCAATTCACTACTATTGGTTTAAAAACTGTTCACCTAGGTAGGCCTTACCATTTTCCTGTAGCTGCTTTGGGGGCCCCTATGCCATTCTGTGTGGCTCTGGGGCCGGCACCACTGTGGCTGCTGGAGCGTGGGCCCAGACCCTCGCCCAGACCCCCGCCCATCCAAACACAGCA